TCGCCAGCATCTATATTGACGCACACTTAACCGCGGCAGCCGTCCGTTCACCAGTTCCCTGGCCTTCTCGCCTCCAGAATAATCTTATTTTACCATGCATGCCTCCTACTTGATAATATGTCCACATTTGACGCTCAGAGTTGCCGCGATTACCGAGAAAAAAACGTGGACAGACGACCGGACAGACGCGCACACACACACCACACACACACACACACACACAGACAGACCACTGCATAACCCTCGCTGCGCATGCACGCAGGCGAGGGTAAAATACTCCACAAAAAAACCCAACCCCCAAAAGAACACAAAAACACAAAAACCACCACCCAGCCCCAGCCAAAACCCAAAACAAAAAAAACCCAAACAAACCCCCCCCCCCCCACACCAACAAAAAAACACCCCAAAAAACCGCCCAAACACCAACCAAACCAAACCCAAAAAAACCCCACCCCCCACCCCCGCAAAAACGCATCCCCCACCCCCCAACAAACCAACCACCCAAACCTCACAAAAAACCCCCCAAACAAAACAACCCCAAACCCCCCAAAACCTCACATAAAAAAAACCCCAACACACCCCCAAACAAAAAAAAACAAAAAAACCCCACCCCCAACCACCCCAACCTACACAAACCACCACCCCCCACTCCTAACCCCACCAAAAAAAAAACCAAAAAAAACTAACCCCTAACCCCAAAACACCCAACCAAAAACCTCCGCCCTCAAAACCAAAACCTAACCCCAAACCAAAAAACATAAACAAAAAAAAAACCCCCACAATCCCCAACAAAACAAAAACGAAACCCCAACAACCAACAAAAAAACCCGCCCCCAAAACAAAAACCAAATAACACCACAAAATCAACAAACCCCCCCCCAAACCCCAACCCCCCAAAACAAACCCCCCAACCAACCAACCAAACCCCCAAACACCACCCCCCAAAAAATCCCCCCACATGAAGAAAAACCCAACAACACCCCAACCAAAACTCCACCCCAAACAACCAACCCAAAAAAAAAACCCCAACCAAACCCCCCACCCCCCGCCCCTGAACCCCCCCAACGAGAACCCCAAAACACAAAAAACACACCAGCAGAAAAATACCAAAACCTAAAACCAACAACATCACCCGAAGCCCTAAACAAAAAGAACAAAAAACCTTTAAATCCCAAAACCAAAAAACACCCTCCCCCCCAAAAAAGCCCAACCCCCCCCACTAAACACAACCCCACCCCCCCCAAACCCAAAACCCAAACCCAAATCCTAACCCCCCCCCCAAAAACAACAAAACAAAAAAACCCTCCCACCACCAAAAAAAAAACACCCCCCCGCACTCAAACCCAAACAAACATAAAACCCCCCGCCACCCCAAAACACCCAAAAACCATAAAACAAAACACCCAACCCCAAAAAGACAAACATGCCAAACAACAACCCCCCCCCCCCCAAAACCCCACCCAAAAATCCCCCCGCCAACAAAAAACCCCCCCCAACCAAAAAATAACCCACCACCAAACAACCCTCAAACAAACCCCACACCCCAAAAAACCCCAAAACCTCAACCCACCCCCACGCCTCCCCCCCACAAAATCAAAAAAAAAAAACAACAAAGAACAACCCAACAACAAAAAACCCAACCCAACACCCCAAAACAGACCAACCATTTTAAACCCCCAAAAAAAAAAAACCCAAACACATTTTGGCTACAGTATGACTTATACTCTGGAATGTGCTATATCACGGATCTTTCAAAGACTGTTTATCTGTAGATTGTCGCGTTGTAAGAACTAAACTCGACAGTCTTCTATTCCCCATACGCATGGTCAGATGCTATACATAATGTAAATCTGTGACCAGCCTCTGAGTACTACACATTTAGTGTGTTATCATGTGGCTTACCATACTAGAGCATACCTTCAGGTACACATTATCACAACACAAACTAACGTTATTCATAAGAGCTCTGTTAGCTATTGCCGTTCATTCTCTCACTCACAAAGTGTATATCACTGAATTCAACAACCATAGGGTTCAGGTTCTAAACCCTGACCTCACATACTCTGGTAGTTTTGGCACAAACGGCTCAAACAATGGAGAGTTCAACCATCCGAGGCATATATCCACTGACAGAGATGTGTATGTTGCTGACTATGGCAACCACAGAAATTGCTGCAGGTGTCAAAAAATAGTATTGAAAAGAACGTGCGCTGGCGCTTAATAACGTACCAGCATTGATTGCTGGTGGTGCTAATTATGCATATTGGCTTTTTCGCTAGGCCTCGAATCTACTTTTGCCACCGTTCAAGCCTTTTCTCGGAGATGCAAAGACCAAAATATGGCTTACCTACTAGAGTACAAGCTGTAAACTTCGACTATGGCAAAGTTCTTCAACTGTAGTACAATACCTCAAGCAAATCCATTCAAGTGTGTAATGTAATGCTGTTTGCCAAGTGTTGGTGCTGCGAAGTATCCGCTGGCTTCATGAGCAAAATAATACTTCCACAAATAAGCAGGGGTTGGCTACAGATGACTTGATATCTGGAATCTACGAGAAAGGAGCTTTCAAATGACCTCTTGTAGATTGTTATGGGTGCAAACTAAACTCGATGTCTTCTTTGTCCCCATACACTTCCATGTACACCTGGTCAGGGTTGTACACCTGGTGAGGGTTGTAAATCTGTGTCCATACTCCTCACATTTAGTGTAGTATCCTGTGGCTTACTACCATGTTCACCACAGCATACCTCAGTACACGCAACACAAACTAACGTTATTCATAAGAGCTCTGAACATTTCCATACTTGGTCATAGGCAGACTGGTCTCCAGATCTCTGGCTATGAATATCTGTAAGGTGGCATTCTAGGGCTGTTCCGGTAGGACCAGTTTCGTCCCTAGACACTCGCTGTTCTCTATCTTCTTGCTTCTTGTCCTTGCCACAGTCTTCACTAGATATTCTCTTTAGCCATTTGCTGCACTACTGACAGCAAGCCATGGCTGCCAAACCCTCCACCACTGCTGCCGAAAAAGCTCTCCAGAAGATCCAGGACCAGGTCACCTGTGGGGATATGTCTGGAGCCCTACAAACAGCCGAGGCTGCTCAAGTGTTTCCACGTGTATTGCGAGCAGTGCCTGCAACGTATGGTACGTAAGGGACGAAAGGGACAGAGTCTCCCATGTCCACAATGTCGCCAGGACACTCCACTGCCAGAGGGCGGAGTCCCGGGGCTCCAAGGAGCTTTCTACATCCACAATCTCTTTGATGTTCACGATGCCCTCAAGAAAGTGAGCTCCAGTGAACAAACAATGTGCAACAAGTGCAAGAAACGTGAGGCAACTGGCTTTTGTCGCACTTGTGGGTTTGTGTGTGAGTTCTGTAAGGAGACACACCTGTACTGGGACAACCTTGAAGCCCACGAGATTATCGACCTGGACACCTTGACTGGAGACGTGACCACCCTCGTTCCTCCTCTCAAGAAGACCCTGTTTTGTGCCTATCATCCGTCGAAAAAGGCAAAGCTCTACTGCGAGACATGCGAGGAGTTGATATGTCGAGACTGCATCGTGCGCACTCATCGCGACCACCAGTACGATCTTGTGCCCGAGTCGTTTGCCAAGCAAGAGAAAGTGATCGTGGACTCTCTCAAGCCAGTGGAAGAACAGATTGCTACGTTAAAAAGAGCCGTTGAGTCGGTGCACACTCGATGTGCTGCAGTCGTAGAACAGAAGACGGCTGTGGTGGCAGAGATCCGCACTGCAATGGCACACCTGCGACAAACTCTAGAGGCTAGGGAGACAGAGCTGGTGGGTCAAGCAGAGCAGACAGCACAACAGAAACTGAAGACCTTGGGAGCGCAGGGAGACGGGTTTGAACTGCAACTGGGCCATCTGAGGAGCTGCCAGGACTTTGTGGAGGAGAGCCGACGTACTTGTAGCCAGGGAGAGATTCTGAGGATGAAGAGCCCTCTCGTGAAACAAGTCAACGACCTAACCGGTTGCTTCAAGCAAGAGATGGTTGCCCTCGCTGAGCAAGCTGACATGACGTTTGGCCACAGTCTGCGTGAAGCAGTGAAGACTTGCCAGCAGTTTGGTAAGGTATACTGTCATCCAGTGTGCCCTGAGAAGTGCCGAGCCTCAGGCGAAGGCATCAAGGTAGCCACGAGAGGGCAAACAATGGCTGTCTCTGTAGAGGCTTTCGATAGGGAGGGAAAAGCCTACCTCAGACCTGTAGACAGCTTGAGGTGTGAGCTAGTTGCTAGTGATGGCAGTAGTCGAGTCAGGGGCACTGTGAAGAGAAGAAATCAGAACATCTACGACATCAGCTACCAGCCTCAGGTCACTGGAGAACATCAACTGCACATTCTAATAGAAGAGCACCCGATCTCGAAACAGTCCTTTTGCTGTCACTGTTTTACCCAACTTTAGTGCCCAAACGGACATCATTGGAGACCTCAAGGGAGCCATACGGTATAGCTGTCAGGGAGGGAGGGGAGGTGGTGGTAGCAGAATATGGTGGTGACCGTGTATCAATTATCAGTGGAAATGGAGAGAAGAAATCATTTGGTACTAGTGGCTCGGGTCCTGGTCAGTTCAGCAGCCCTTCAGGTATAGCAATAGATGGTGGAGGAAATATACTTGTCGCAGACATTACAACCATTGTATTCAGTTGTTTTCATCCACTGGCAAATACCTGAGAAAGGTTGGTACACAAGGCAGTGGACATCTACAGTTCCAACATCCAGTGGGTATTGCCGTTCATTCTCACACTCACAAAGTGTATATCACTGAATTCAACAACCATAGGGTTCAGGTTCTAAACCCTGACCTCACATACTCCAGTAGTTTTGGCACAAACGGCTCAAACAATGGAGAGTTCAACCATCCCAGGCATATATCCACTGACAGAGATGGCAATGTGTATGTTGCTGACAGTGGCAATCACAGGATCCAGGTATTCACAGGCGATGGAGTGTATCTGAGGCAGTTTGGGAAGAAAGGAGTATGGAAAGGAGAAATAATTTCCCGGCTGGTATCGCTGTTGGATCCAACAATCTGGTGTATGTCAGTGAATGGGAAACCATCGTATCTCGATATTCTCGCCTGACGGAAAGTTTATCAAGTGTTTTGGAGAGGAAGGAAACGGTCCTGCTCAGTTCAGCAGTCCATGTGGACTAGCATTAGACAAGAACGGAGCGCTCTATGTCTGTGACTCGAATAATGGTTGTATACAAAAATTTTCTTAACTTTTCGGATGTAGTTCCTGATCTTTGTACTTTTATGAAACCTACAGAAATTTTTGTCCGTGTAAAAATAGTATTGAAAAACACGTGCAATAAAGTAGGCATTGATTGCTGGTCAAGAAAGGCCGGTGCTATTAATGCATATTGGCTTTTTCGCTAGGCCTCGAATCTACTTTTGTCACCGTTGAAGCCTTTTCCGGAGATGTAAAGACAAAAATACAGCTTACTTACTAGAGTACAAGTGCTGTGAACCTCGACTATGGCAAAGTTCATCTACTATGCTTCAACTGTAGTACAATACCTCAAGAATATCCGCTGAAGATGTGCAACGTGATGCTGTTTGCCAAGTGTTGGTGCTGCGAAGTGTCCGCTGGCTTCATGAGCAAAATAATACTTCCACAAAAAGGTAGGGGTTGGCTACAGATGACTCGATATCTGTAATGTACTAGTGAAGAGCTTTCAAATGACATGTTTATCTTGTAGATTGTCGCGGGTACGTAACTAAACTCAACGTCTTCTTTGTCCCCATACATTTCCATGTACACATGGTCAGGGTTGTAAACCTGTGTCCATCCTCCTCTGAGTACTACAAGTATTTTCCTGTGGTTTACTACCCACCTTCACCATAGCATACCTCAGTACACGCAACAAAAACTAACGTTATTCATAATAGCTCCGAACATTTCCATACTTGGTCATAGGCAGGCTTGTCTCCAGGGCTATGAATATCTGTAAGATGTCAGTAAACAATCTAGGGCTATTCCTGTAGGACCAGTTTCAGTCCCTAGACACTCGTTGTCTTCTTGCTTCTTGTCCTTGCCGCAGTCTTCACTAGATACTCTCATTTAGCTATTTGCTGCACTACTGACAGTCGAGCCCTGGCTGGCAAACCCTCCACCACTCACTGCTCCGAGAAAGC